GGCAAGCCCCCTTTTTCCTGGTGATGGTACCCCAGTATTCTATAGGAATAGTTCCTTCACCCCTTTCAGGTGCTAGATTCTGACATAGGGGCCAGATCCAAGGCCAGACAGTCAGTTGATTTTTGTTGTTGTTTTTTTGTTTGTTTTTGTTTTGTTTTTTGTTGTTATTGTTGGTTTTTTTTTTTTTTATAGATACAATCTTCAGGAGCTGGAGAGATGGCTCGGAGGTTAAGAACACTGGCTGTTCTTCCAGAGGTCCTGAGTTCAATTCCCAGCACCCACATGGTGGCTCACAACCATCTGTAATGAGATCTGGCGCCCTCTTCTGGCCTGCAGGTATACATGTAAACAGAATACTGTATACATAATAAATAAATAAATCTTTAAAAAAAAAAAAAAAAAGATACAATCTTCATTGTAGACCAGGCTGGCTGTGAACCTACAACCTCACCTTAGCCTCCTGACCTGGGCTTTTAGGCCTGCACCACTACACTGGACTCAGCTGGCAGATTTTAGCCCTGGACTGCCATGCCTGGGCTTGTAAAGGAGACTGAATTAATTGAGATTCTTTCTAGTTGGGCTGCTGTAGCAAAGACCCACACAGCAGTTCTTTAGGCAAGACAAAGTTAATTTTTTTTTCTCCCAAGTGTTTGTGGTAGCTCTGTCCTACACAAATTTGAGGAGCTCGGGTGCCTTCTGCTTTGTGGATGAGCTCACCTTGCCCACACAGCCACACTGCAGCCAGAGAGAGGCAGTAGGAAAGGGAAGTACAACAGTGTATATATCACCTTCACTCATTAGCCAGGACGTAAGCCTAAACCATCCCTAGCTGCCAGGAAGGGCCATATTACCAACTGAAATATTCGGCCCCATGGAAGAAGAGGGAGATGGCTACTGGGAGCCAGGCTAGCAGGTGATGATAGAGTCTGCCCAACATAGATGTTCACACTGCGGGAAGAGGGGATGAGACAACAGAGAATCAGTGGGATTCACAGAGTAGACCGCGCTGACGGACAGCTCTCCCCACGACTCTTCACGTGTGGGCCAGAGCTTTTCTGTTCTGGTTTGAACATGAGATGCTACCGAAAAGCGACTCAATGCCTGCCTCAAGCTGGTGGTGCTTTTGGAGAGGGTGTGGGACCTTTAAGGGGTAGTAGAGCCTCCCGGGAGGAAGTGGGTCACAGGGATAGACCGTGAGGTGTTATGGCCAACCCGACTCTCTGTCCTGTCTGTTTTCTGATCCACCCACTTGTGAGCAAGTAGCCTCATGGTCCTGCTGACACAGTCAAGATCGGCTTGCCTGATGTGATGAGCTGTCCTTTCTAACCATGAGCCAAGTAAGCCCCTCCCTCCATTAAGTTGCTTCCCACCGGGAGCTTGGTCACAGCAATGAGAAATATAATGGACCTACCGTCTTTCTTTACGTAGGTTTGGTTTGGACTTCTGGTACCTGAACTATGGAGATCTGTTGAATTTACAGCATAGGCCATCAGATAAACGGCTATAAGAAAACAGAGGGGCTGGAGAAAGGGCACAGAGGTAAAACGCTTGCCTGGCAACCATGAGGACTGGAATTTGGATCCACCTATAAAGCCAGGGGGCATGGCAGACAAGCGTAATCCCAGCAGGAGACATGGAATCCCTGGGCCAAGCTAGCCAGCCAGCCTAACTGAAAGAGCAAGCTCGGG